ACTTATGATGCTCACTGTATAGATAGAAAAGTAAAAAGCTATACTTAAATAGTTTACGTTTTTAAAACGCCTACCTTAACAAATTATCTCACTGCGTGACAGTAGTTGTCAGTGTTATAGTCGTTTGAATTTCCTTAACTGATTGAAGTTGCTCGCTTATTTCTTGAAAAATCCAAATTTGCCGCGTATATCCCAAGGGACAATTAGTAAAATAGCAGTTTCGCGAGCTTAGACATTTAAGGCAGATAAAAAAATAGCTGCCAATGCAACAACTAATGACACCAAATTAGGATCAGGACAATCGAGGGGGAGCAATGTTACCCATCGCCCTACAGTGTGCTGAAGTCGTCATAAGTAAAGTTGAGTAGAAGGGAGAATATTCGAAAAATGTCGAGAAATGTCATTTCGCGTCAAGAAATATCTGGACGTTCTGGAAGGTGCTAGAAGGTTAAATCGAGCTATTTAAGTCGGTGATTCTGAAGTCAGTCAGTCAGTTTTTATGATTGACGTTATACGTTAATATTATCAGTTGAACAGTTATTGTAAAAGTTGAGTTGAAATAAATTGAGATATCAAAAACCTGCGTAACATTTTTTTGTTATCATGATCATCGACTTATATAGCTTGCTTGACTTTTCTCGAATTTTTTCGAACTGTCCAGATATTTGTTGACAAGAAATGACATTTCCAGACTTTTCTGGAATATTCTATCTTCTTCTTCATTTACTCGTACTCTTACTTGTGATGACCACAGCACACTGTAGTGTGATGAGTGACATTGCACTTATTTTTGTATTTGTATGTTTCCTGTAACAGTCGCAGGCTACTGCAGGGTGCAGGGTAACATTGCTCCCTCTTCTCTATTTATTCGCTCTGAATAACTTCATTACTGCGACCTGGTTGGAGCCAACAGGGAGGATCTGGACCACGATGTGGCGCTAACTTTTCAATGTGAACTACCTTGGGTTTACTTTCCGCTGATAATCATATGCGGTAGATCAGGTCGTTGATTTCCTTGAGGACGGTGTAGGGGCAATCCCAGTTCCGTTGCATTTTCTGGCAAAGTCCTTTTTGGCACTTGGGATTGTACAGCCATACTGGATCGTCTTTCTTAAAATGTGGTCGCCAAATAGCCCCAATGTTCGATATTCATCGATTATTCGAACAGTAAAATAAAATAAAATGCAAGAACGCAATTTTGTGAACAAATGATGGCAATGTTAGATAATATGGCGATCTAATTAGAACATGATTTGTTTTCTGATAAGCGTACCTTTACACTTTTTATTTTTATTTCAGATTAGGATGTTGCCAGGAGGTTCGCAGCGAGCATTTTGAAAACCTTCTTCATTGAGATAAAGGTTATAAAATTGTTTGATTCCATGGTTCTACTTGAATCACATTATCAGTTCGGCTGCTAAGCATTTTGTGAATGTTTTACTTAAAATATACTTATAGTGACTTGGTAGTTAATTTATTAGAGTAACTTTTTTGGCCAGATGCTCATACAGAGCAAGACTTCAAAAGAAAAAAGAAGAAAAAGTAAGTTTTTAATGCCCACGCAGTAAAAATTATTTTTAAAGCCTAGGCAATAAAAGTGTTACTTCTTTGATCAAGAAAATTTGCTAAAAGTGACATTTAATATGTATAAATGTATACCTGCCAATATTTGCATAGGGTGAATTGGTACGTTTGAAAATTTTTAAGTCGTCTACTTGAATAATTGCGTCGATTTGGTCACCGACTCTAGCGGCAAGGTACAAAGTTACAAATATTTTTAGAATATCTATTTTCTTTTGTCAGAAAAACGGTTCCAGAGAATTGGTCGTCTCCACCCACTTTTCTTTTAGAATTATTATTTTAATACTAATACATATTAAAAAGATTGGTCATAAATTATACCACGTGTTCTTGGGTTAAAAATAGATCGATTGAATGTATTGGATAGACGCACATTCCTAGTAATTGATCTTCACTCAAGAGAAACTGGCACTTTTCAGAAACAAGTGCGTGGTAATATACTCGGACAAAATATTGAAGAAGGTGATTCCTTCCTGTTCACGTACAACAATCATATTATACCAGAGCATAATGAATGGAATCACGCGCTTAAAACTGCAGAAGTTATCGGAATCACGTGCCAACTAGTCATAAATGCATGTTTATTGCCAAAATGAATTACGCCAGTGGCGTATAAAAACTATTGGCAAATTAAATGCGGTAATATATGAAAGTAGGTTGATTATTGGGAAATAAAATGGGGTATTATACTAGAACAAAATACTGAAGAAGGTGCGCCTTAAAACTGCAAAAGGTATCGTTATCATATCAAAATGCACTCTTCTAGTGTCGCAGAAATACTATTTTGGCAAATTAAATGGGTATTACTAGATAAAAGTAGGTTGGTTATCTATTTTTGTTATAATAATTCATCTATGTTTATAATTGTATTTTGTTTATTGTAAAAATATGTAAATTAAGCTTGGTATCACTTACTTGAATTCTAAATCTATGAAGTTTCGTAATCCATTGATTCTGCAGAACTATCACTAAAATCGTCTTTATCGTCGGAACTTAAAGTTATGACTAAAGGTTCAACGACCGTTTCGATCATACCATCCAAGCGCCACATATTATTTTCTTCCTTAATTAAATGGGAAATAGCATTCTGCCAATCGTCTGGTTTTATACGTTATATTATATTATATTCAGTAAACAATTTTTCAAAGCATTCCGCATTCATGTCCTCGTGGTAGTCTCCTGTTTTTTAGATATAAACACAAGAGCGCTATTTTACAAAAATCCACTGTCACTTCCGATATGGGTAACAATTAGGCGCTGTCCTTTACCTGATAGTGCTTTCAAACTTGTAGATAATCCCTCTATAAAAGTTTGGCGATGACTAGTTACAGAAGTATCTTGCCATATCTTAGATACCGTGTGTCCAGCATTCACCCACGTTTCTTCGAGATAGCATATCTTTTTTTTAGCGGCTCTAAACTCTTTAATATTTCGTAAATAACGCCGTCGCCACTGACCTCTCAATTAAAATTGATTTCCTACACCGTTTGACAAAACGAAATTTTAGGCCCCATAAAATTTTTCGTAAAGTTTCACGGCTCATTAATGGAATTTCTTCGTTTTCTCTTAATTTCGTGAGAACAACTTTAAGTGTTGGGGCTTTGTTTTTGAAAAAAAAATAAAAATGTTTCTTCGAATGATTTGTTTTTGGTTATCGTCCAATTTCAACAATTTTCGACCACGGGTATGCGTTTTAGGGGCTTCTAAGGAGCCTTTTTTGTCTTTTCGCGTACAATACGTTCAATTGTTGAAGAACTGTGGCTTACAGCTTCATTTGTAGGACGTGTCTGTTTCAGTCCATCATACACTTTCTATATAATGTTCTTTTTATCCTTTGATAAGGGCTTTCGCCGACGTAATTGGGTTTCACTTGGACCCGCCTCTGAATCCATTATTATTGTAACAATATAATTCTACTATTAAATTGTTTTTATTAAATTTATAAAGACACCAATATTTTATTATTTAATAAACTTTTAAAGTACCTACCTAGTATACTACACAATAAATATAACTCCTCGAATATGCACTGCCACTACCAAATTGTAAGGCACAAACATGAACACCATGAACATCAGAAAAGAGCACTTATACAAAAAAGTGTTTATAGAATATAAAATAATTATCGTAAATAGTTAAAGCAATACACATCTAACTTCGTCGAAAGTTAGTTTTTAACTGTTTTTGTGCCTGTGCTGACAATATTCAATCTGTAAATTGTCTCTCGTTTATTTACTTGAAACACATTTTAAAACCATTAAACACAGATAACGAAGTCATTAGAGAATAAATATATTCATTTCTTAAAAATTATCAAAAACGTATATTTAACGAATCATCTTTGTTTAGATAAAGATGTTGACAAACAAATTTATTAAAGTTTACTAACAAATACCTAATAAATAGTAAATAATTATTTGGTATTTGATACGCCGCCTATGCTGACTCTGTCGGAATTTTTATTCATAGACAACAGTGTTGATCATGCATATGACTCACCTTCTCCAATATTTTGTCCGAGTATAGTGGTCGTCCAAAAAACCGGGCTAATGATGAGGCTATCCTAGACAGTATTGAAGGACACCCGGAAACAAGAACAAGGGGTTAGGTGCTCAAATAGAAGTATATCATATGGAAGTGTACAGAACAGTTGAGGAACAGCTACTTTGCCCGTTCCATGTAACACCTGTTAGAATTACTATCGCAAGACCTTCCAAAACGAATGGGATATTTATTCACAGATGAAGCTACATTATTATTAATCACCACAATACACATGTCTGGGCCGACGTAAACCTTAATGCTTAAACAGTGCGTAACCATCAAGTTAATTTTAAAGTAAAAGTTTGGGCTGGAATTATCCATAACTATTTAGTAGTATTTCTTCCAAATAATTGAAACGGAAAAAATTATTTATTATTTTTATAAAACGATTTTCCAATCTACCATTAGCCACCAGACAAAGTATGTGGTTTATGCAAAGTTGTGCTACTTTAATAACGACATTAGGGCGTTTCTATTTCGGCAGTATCCAGCACGTTGGATAGGGTGGGGGCCCGATACACCAATTGAATCGCCACCGCGCGTCCAGATCCTAATCCACTGGATTTTGGTTTTTAGAAATAACTAGTGAACATCATTTAAGAAATCGAATTTTAGAAGCTGCTAACGCATTTAAACATGATTTAATATTTTTGCAAACGTAGTATGTAAAAATAAGTGGCTGTATCGTTTAAACCAAACTTTGACAAACATACTAGAACATAAAAAAAGTTTAAAAATTGATGTTGATTTCCAGAGGCGTTTTCGACTAAATTTTATATAACAAAAAAGTTGTGTGGTCAAAAGGGCAGTGACCCCCTCGAAAAACCTATAAAAATTGAGAAAAAAATATTCAGTATACCTTGGCTTTATTAGTCATTGTATTCTAACACGCATTATAAAATTTCATAAAAAAGTGTTAAACGGTTCAAGAGCAACGTTAAAAAATTCATTTAAATTTTTAATCTAATCACCCTCTAACTTTTTGTTTGTGCAATTTTGTACGTAGGTAAGTAAATTTTAATCGATCTATTTTTAACCAAAGAATATGTGGTATCATTTGTGGCCAATCATTTTGATACATTCTGTACTATATTATTATTAAAACCGATAACACACTGACCTCCAGTTGCTGCAGCAGCTTCGGTTCCAATCTCAGTAACGTTGATGAAGCTCTTTTGGACAACTTCCGAAACAATCAACTTCTCGTTGGTCGAAGACAAACCAGACAAGTCAGCTTCGCCATCGAATATTTTTTTGACTCCAAACTAAAAATAAAAAAAAGATATGATACAAAATAGGATAGTTTGTGTAACTAGAGTGGAAATTCGCACATTTCGGTAACATTTATAAGTAATTCAATATCTCTTAAAATTAGACTTTTATATTTTACTTTTTTCGTAGCTTTATAACCATTTAAGAAAAAAAGGTTATAAAATTATTTCAATAGAGTATAATAAAGGTAGGTACTTACACCTTTAAGGCTATCGACTAATGGAAATTCTGAGTCAATTGTGAATTTGGGCAATTTAAGGTGCATACGTTTAGGTTTCAATTCTTGAGTTTCTAAAAGATTTTCTACGTTTTTTTCAAGAGCTGTCAAACCTTCTTTTTCGTATGGCAATGCAATAACCATGCTCAAACCATCACCTAGAAGCATAAATTTTATTATAAAACTAACATCGTATTAAAATAATTATAATGTTGGTTCTACAGCAATTTTTTATAGTAGGTGAAGGGCGTTTAAGAATAATGACGATCTAAGAGTACGCACGATACAAACGTCAGACCTAAGAGTACACATGATCTAAGACTATGCATGTACTAAAAGTATGCAGAATCTTAGAATACGCACGATCTAAGGGTAAGCAAATCAGTTTTCATAGTTAAGGTGGGATGCTGTGTTGTGATTTTTTGTGGAAAATGTTCATTATCTGGTAAGTTATATCAAACATTATTTTCTCAACATTCATAAATAAAGGTTAAACAGACAATTTAAAAATTCAGCATGTTTGACTATAATGTTTAGTAGTTATGCCGCGAGACGAGGCGAGACGAGAGAGAGGCCTCTCTTGTCTCGTCTCGTAGGACGAGAAAAAACTGTTCTCTTGTCTCGACGAGAGGACGTTTCTCGTCTCGTCTCGTCTCGTCTCGTCTCGTCTCGTCTCGTCTCGTCTCGTCTCGTCTCGTCTCGTCTCGTCTCGTCTCGTCTCGTCTCGTCTCGTCTCGTCTCGTCTCGTCTCGTCTCGTCTCGTCTCGTCTCGTCTCGTCTCGTCTCGTCTCGTCTCGTCTCGTCTCGTCTCGTCTCGTCTCGTCTCGTCTCGTCTCGTCTCGTCTCGTCTCGTCTCGTCTCGTCTCGTCTCGTCTCGTCTCGTCTCGTCTCGTCTCGTCTCGTCTCGTCTCGTCTCGTCTCGTCTCGTCTCGTCTCGTCTCGTCTCGTCTCGTCTCGTCTCGTCTCGTCTCGTCTCGTCTCGTCTCGTCTCGTCTCGTCTCGTCTCGTCTCGTCTCGTCTCGTCTCGTCTCGTCTCGTCTCGTCTCGTCTCGTCTCGTCTCGTCTCGTCTCGTCTCGTCTCGTCTCGTCTCGTCTCGTCTCGTCTCGTCTCGTCTCGTCTCGTCTCGTCTCGTCTCGTCTCGTCTCGTCTCGTCTCGTCTCGTCTCGTCTCGTCTCGTCTCGTCTCGTCTCGTCTCGTCTCGTCTCGTCTCGTCTCGTCTCGTCTCGTCTCGTCTCGTCTCGTCTCGTCTCGTCTCGTCTCGTCTCGTCTCGTCTCGTCTCGTCTCGTCTCGTCTCGTCTCGTCTCGTCTCGTCTCGTCTCGTCTCGTCTCGTCTCGTCTCGTCTCGTCTCGTCTCGTCTCGTCTCGTCTCGTCTCGTCTCGTCTCGTCTCGTCTCGTCTCGTCTCGTCTCGTCTCGTCTCGTCTCGTCTCGTCTCGTCTCGTCTCGTCTCGTCTCGTCTCGTCTCGTCTCGTCTCGTCTCGTCTCGTCTCGTCTCGTCTCGTCTCGTCTCGTCTCGTCTCGTCTCGTCTCGTCTCGTCTCGTCTCGTCTCGTCTCGTCTCGTCTCGTCTCGTCTCGTCTCGTCTCGTCTCGTCTCGTCTCGTCTCGTCTCGTCTCGTCTCGTCTCGTCTCGTCTCGTCTCGTCTCGTCTCGTCTCGTCTCGTCTCGTCTCGTCTCGTCTCGTCTCGTCTCGTCTCGTCTCGTCTCGTCTCGTCTCGTCTCGTCTCGTCTCGTCTCGTCTCGTCTCGTCTCGTCTCGTCTCGTCTCGTCTCGTCTCGTCTCGTCTCGTCTCGTCTCGTCTCGTCTCGTCTCGTTTCATCTGACCTTACCCCTATTATTATCCAGGTAAGAAAACGATTTAAACAATAAAATTCTATTTATATAGGGTGAATTATATTTCAATGGGGCTAAAAGTAGTTAAATTTACTCTCCAAATCTGTTTTTTAACTTACATTTTACTTTAATATTTACAAATTCATAAATGTAAAGTATTTTATTTTTTCTTTCTTTAATCCAAATGTATTTCCATTTAATAATCTAGTCAACAAGTGCTTTTTTGGTTAACTTTTTTCAACATTCTCGGAAAAATATAAGCAAGATGTCATTTGACTTGCAATAGGATGTAGATGATTTTTGAAATAAAAAATAAAGTTCTGTTGCAAAAGTTATAAACAATTAACTAAAACAAAAACAAATGGAGGTTTGGTTTTTTGAAAAAATCTCAAAAACAAATGGAGATTTTTGAAATCTAAAAAAAGATTCATAAAGAGGAGGAACTTTCTGAAAAAAATTCGTAACTGCCGGAACTGTACTACCAATATTTATAATGTTTTCAAAGGGATAAAAATACGGCCAAAACGGGTACTACAGCTTGCGCAAGTCACGTCCACTTCGGACATGTTAACAATAAAATTTATTTAAAGATATTAAATATGAAAATTAAAAAATTAAAAAAATGCAGGCACTTACTGAATGAATGAATGAACAATTATCCGCTGGCAAAAACATTTTATCGCAATTTTTTAATTAGTTATGGAATAGTTAATTAATAATTTGTTGCTGCTTGAATATCTACATTGCAAGTGTGATAATTGTTAAACTGTACATTTGAGATTTTTTCCTTCCTTGGAGCTAATCCTGAATGGCTTTAAAATAGATCCCCGTTGGAAAAAAAAAACAATTTTTCAGTTGTTATTAGCAATTTACGAAGTTGGAAAATAAAAACTTTAATTAATCATCGAAAAAAAAAGTACATATATTTTTTTATTATCAGAAGCTGCTTGGAAATGATTTTATACAATTTTTTAGTCATAAAAATTATTTCAAAAACTATGTAAATAATATTTTTCGTAATCAGTCAAGATAAATATAACCGTTTTCGTTTTAAGTTTGATAAAAAAAAGTTGTTGCAGCTTTCATTTAAAATGAATTTTAAATAAATGACATATTTTCTTTATAAATTACTACTTCAAAATCCTAATTAAACACTTATTATTTGTTACCGTTTAATATGTATATTGAATACGTGTGTTATAGTTAACTTTTTGACTTTCTGAATATCTAATATGTTTAATTTTTAGGTTGCGATAAACAATTGAAAACTCCAAATAAGCAAACAGTAAAATGTTCGAGAGAGCTCGAGAGAAACGAGAAATTCTCGTCGAGATATGACACTCTCACCTCGTCTCGAATTTCGAAAGAAAATGTCTCTCTCGTCTCATCTCGACGAGACGAAAGACTAGAATCTCTCGTCTCGCAGCATCACTAATTTTTAGAGATATTATTTCTCAAATATCGAGAAATCTAGAGATTATCTGAAGTTAATACTGCGGTAAATTTATTTATAGAAGCAACTTGCTGCTAAATCTGCAGAAAACTAGGCACAAGGGATTAAATCAAATAACAAAGTTAATAAGCAAGCAGAAAGACGATCTCCCATAGAAAGGTACCTACGAAAGAGATGTGAGTAAAAAAAGGTCGAACACGTTTTTGGGGAATGTCCAGATTGTACTAAGACATGCTCGGATCCATGGTCTACCCTAAGTTGACTTGGTTCGGTGTTCAAGATGTTTATGATGGTTTCATGATATAAGCATGTCATACGAAGGGCGAGGCACCTTTTTTGTACGATTTCGGTAATAAAGACCAACTAAATTAGACACTGCGCACTATTGGCATAAATGTGCACTTTTATAATAGTATTATGCATCCTTTTAGTTCGTTGGAAGCCTAATAATAACGTGCCTGTACATATTAAATAAAATTTTGTTAATGTTCTACTACCGTTTTACAGAAAAATATTTAACTTCATGTTAGTTTCCTTAAGTATACAGTTATTTGTGGCATTGCATTGTTTTATTTAAAATGTAATACCCAATTTGTGAACAAAAGCTGTTTAAAAGGTATGTGCGTCCTCTGAAATACCTCGTACTCTTAACTTAAGGAGTTTGCTCGGTTGAAACAGCGCAAGGAGTATATATGGAAGTTTGGAGACGGTTCTGACTCCCAAAAACAATTGTAAAAATAAATATTAGAAAAACCTTACCAAAGCATTAAGAAAATAACAGTATATTAAGAACCGACTTGGTAGAGTGAGTTTGAGGACTTTTTAGACAACAACGAACAAATATCAGATTATCATATTCATCAATTTATTATGAAGAATCCTAATTCAACGAGTGCTTCAGGATTTTTAATATTGAATGTAATATAAACTTACCAACGTATGGGAGTTCTAAAAATTGGACACCCGACTCAGTATTGTCATAGTAATTGAAGTAGTTGATTTGACTCATAGTTAGAACTTCAACGTAGTCATTTTTATTTTTGTAAAATTTTTGAGGTTTAGTTAGATAATCTCTGAAAGGATTTGCCCATTTAGCGCTGAAATATAGAGCATTAACCAGTACCAAAGAGGTGGCGTTAGAAAGAGAATCGGATTTGATGAGATCTGTGATTTTAATGTATGTTTGTGTTTCTACCCATTTGTTAATGGTATTGGCAGCTTCGTCGTTTTTGGAGAAATCAATATTTTCTACACCTGAAAATAAAAAATAAATACATATTATGTACGGTTACAAGTTCGCTGGTTACTCCTAGTAACTAACCAGAATGATAAACATCAACAGCCACCTGTTCAATGGCATCTTCAAACTTCACGTCTTCTCTCGCATAAATTTTATTGGCCGATAATAATTTCAGATCATTAGTATTAGATGTCAATTTGGGCAAAAATTCCTTGAAAGACTTTTGGATGCTTTGTTGGGACGATGGTAGGGAGAGACTGTGAACGAGTTCATCATGTGTGGGACCATTTGCGCCGGCCGATAGAAGAGCTAGGATGGTTTCGACGGAGAAAGGACTGAATACCAGATCGCCTTGTTGGGTTTTGAGGATTTCCTAAAAGATAAAAATAAATAAAATATTTTTGAGATACTTCTAGCACATGCCAAAATTTAAATGAGATTCTATTTAACTCTGATACATAATTTTGTTGTTTGATATGCCCATTATACCTCAAGTGAAAGTCTATTACAATACCAAGCTATTTAACTTTTTTGCAGATTTTATAGGTATTTTATTACTAAACTCTGAAAGAGATGTTGCCAAACTATTAAACAGTAAGTATTCTGTTTTATTTATATTTAGCGATAAAGCTGTGGTCAAATCATTTGTTTAGTCTTATGAAGTCGCCTTTTACTTGTTTTTTTTAATGAAAACCAATAATTTATTTTGTAAAAAACTACAGTATCATCTGCAAAACCAATGATTTGACCTTCTCGTTCGAGAAAAACTATATTAATTAGACATACTGTAAATTATATTGGACCCAGAACTGTGTCTTGAGGTTATTTATTCTAGTATACTGTCGCCAGTTTTTTAAACAACTTTATTGTATTGCGAGTGTTCTCCCCATTTGATGATGTGTACAGAGGCGTATAAAATTTATTAAAATTTTACCGTTTATTATATTGCAAATGCAATATTATAATAATTAGGTATTATAATAAATTTAAAACTGATATTTTAAAAAAATGTTTTGTGCATAAAATTTGCTAAAAAAATAATAGGTAATTGTAATTAATATTACTGAACGATTTAAATACCTAAAGCCAAAATAATTATTTAATTAATGCTTAATGTTTTAAATTCTACGAGATGGAACGTTTTGGGCTAGACAATTGGTTGACAAGTTCATCTCTGATTGTTTACTTTCGCGATAGCCAAAGAAATAAAATTATGGGTGCATAACCTATAACATGAATAACATCTAAACTACCAGACGTCTCGCACCGAGATTAAAAATTCTTTGCCGGCCATATGTGACCGTTATACAAACCTGGGCGGTCACCGGTGACCGCCGATGCATGAGAGGCATTTTAATAGAAAATGTGCTTGACCTGAGAAGATACAGTGGACATTTTCTTGATACCTAACGTATTATGGTTAATTGGTAGATTAGTAAAAAATAATAATTAAGTAATTATATTACCTTGTATACATCAGCAGTAAAATGTCTAGTAGCAACTGCTAATTGTTGAATATTATTTTCTTCAGTTGGTTCAGCCCAAACAGCGCATGTGCAGAATAAGAGGATTACGGCACACTTCATTTTGATTATCTGAATAAATATAATATATATTGCAATTTGATGATCATGAACATGCATGCCGTTAGTTGCAATCATTGTTAATATAAATAATATAAACATGCCTAATTTCTCCATACTTTCCAATTTCCGAAAAAATTCCAAATTTAGTATCTATGAGTATTATGTTTAATATGTAAATTTATAAATACTCATTTCTTTATTTTCGGAAACCAAACATTACAAAATTTAGGAGTTAAATCTCAAATGGACACAATTTTTACAGATTTCCAAAAAGCATTTAAACATGTAAATCATGATGTACTTTAAAAAAAATAGCAAAATTTGGTTTGTTGATATAGAATTAGTAAAAAGCTATTTAGAAAATAGAAAGTTTGTACTTAAGAATAATGGAACTGTTTCTAGAAAACCATGCCAATCAACAACCTATTCTATTTATTATACTTATTGGTTTAATATAATATACTTTTTTTAAATAAAGAATTTAGATTTTAGTAAAATTTCTTTCTTTCATTCTTAAGCTCTCTGGGTTTCTTCTATTTAAAAATGACCTCAAAATAATCAGGAGAATGAACTCCGTTCGATATTGTGTTATGTTACAGAAAGATGCATCAGTAAATGTAAAATGATTATTATAATTCGTTCTAGAGAAACAATTTTATTCGAATATGAGATGGGAGGACATGCATCTTGGTAGATGCATAGAATTATAGAGTTTAGTGTAAAAAACACACCAAATAGATTCTGGGCATAGTGGGAGCATCTGAGGGGTACTTTATAGAGGGTCGTTTTTTATTTTAGGATAGTTTCGTGTTATTTCTGATTACAGAAGAAAATTCTTTAAATAAAAGTTGTTTATGATGCCATTCTCTATTTTTTTGTCATACACATGAAATTCATAAATGAACCGTATTAGATAAATTTGAGGAACAGTTTAAAATTCTAATTATTATGTTAATATATTGTCGACAATGTAGATATATAAAAACAAGTTTTGAATAAAATGTGTGTGGAAAATTTATATATTTAGTTTATCTTTGTACTACAGCGGTAGTACAATAGGTTTGTATATAATAAAAGGAAAAGCCTAGAATAAAAAATAATACATAATCTAATAATCTCCATACAGAGCCTTTACAAGAAAAGTATTTATCGATAACAAGATGATGTCATAATGACAAATATATTCTTTCTGTAATAAAATTTGTATTGAAGTCAATTTTCGTTAATATATATTTTTTTTTTTAACTAATTTCGGGTATAAATTTCGATTTTTACTTAATTTTAACTTCGTGATATAACCTGTATATCAGCTTGTCGCAATTGAGAACAAATCGTCCAAATACTCTGCGTGCGCGAGTCGCAATGGTGGGGGTTTCTGTTATTGGAAGAGCTATCGACGGCGGAACGAGGTAGCATTCAATATTCAATTAAAATTTCACTTCCTATTACACCGATTTATCGAATAGTCGAATATAGAAATGTTATTTAGACACCGACACGATTCAGATATTGCTCGCGAGAGACAATTTTAAATCGCTTCATATTTCTAGCCGCGATCTTGACTATAGGTATATTGTTGTCATTGTTTTTATAAATTGATATTTTTTTTCGCTCGAGACTTTAAGCCGTGTTATTGGAAACTGTTTTATTTTGATTTATTTTTAATAATATTATTCCGTGTTGAGTTGAGAATTGAAACTTGTTTTGATTAAGAAATACTTAATTTTATTTCTGTTTAGTTGGACCGGGAATAGAATCAAAGTTATAGGTCATTCACTGAATTTACACCCATATCGGGTTAAGAAATAAATGAAAGATTTAACTGGTCAGTTGTATTTTAAACATTTACTCATGGGTGGCGTTATTTTGTATATTGTTATAGAAACAAAATAAATATATATTTTAGGTATTTAATTTTGCCTCAGAAAGCTTAAAAGAGATAGTTAAATGATTTTGTTGTTTAATAATAGTGTAACGGTTTGGCTCTACGGACGAGACAGTGCCAGGGTTTGCCACAACAGTACGAGACAACGAACCGTCAAGGTGACAGGAAACCCAACCTACAATCGGGCAGGCTGACAGAAACTGGGAGAAAGTGTGAAGAATGATCGAGAACGGTCATGGAAGCGGTTACCATAGATTATTGATGATATGACACTGTCAATTTGGGAGTGGAAGATAAAAAGCCGGTCAGCGCGTGGCGGATCAACGTTTCAATTGTAAATAGTAATAATTGTAAATAGTTTACGCGTTTGGATAGTTATTTTTGTATTTTAATTAAATAAATAGTTTCAACCCACACTCGTGTTACAATTGGTGTCAGGTGTGGGGTCCTGAAGAAAGAAGATGTCTAAGAAGATAAATCAGTTGCTGGTTGCAGAGCTCAGAAGAGAGCTAGAAGAACTTGAGCTAGACACGACGGGACCCAAGACGGTGTTGGTAGTACGTTTGAGGGAGTACTACGAAAGTCGAGGTGACGATCCTGATGCCATAGAGTTTGAAGATCCCTCCCTAAAGGCTGTGAAGTCCTTTGCCGAGCTTGCCGAAAAGATGACCAACCTGCCTACGAAGATGACCAGCCTGTCCTCCGAGATGTCCAGCATGTCCACCGAGGTTCATGAGGTTAATGAAGAAGTGTCCAACCTCTCCCGGGCCATGGCTAACCAGGCAGCAGAACTGCGAGCAGAAATTTCCCTACAGGAAGAAAGAATAACCGGTGTGATTGCTCAACAGGAAGAAAGAATAACCGGTGTGATTGCTCAACAGGAAGAAAGAATATCCGGTGTGATCGCTCAGCAGGAGGAAAGAATATCCGGCGTCGAAGAAGAGATCCAGAAATTACAAGATTTCCTGTCCAATCCGCCACCTCCTGGAAACAGAGAAGAGGAACCCAACCCCGTGGTAGAAAGGCTGGAGAGCAATCTTTCAACTCTCGAGATCAAGCTCCATGCGATTAAAGAACGATTCTCCCGCCAGTCTTCAAGAGGTGAAGATCGACGAGACTTCGGCGCTGTAGGTGAGACCAAAGCCAGAATGAAGCCACCTACCTTCGACGGCAAGACCTCCTGGCCCAACTATCTCAAGCAGTTCAACGCAGCGGCCGACGCCAACGAATGGTCTCCTGGGGAGAAGGCAGTAGCACTCACACTTGCCCTACGTGGTGATGCTCTAGATGTCCTGCAGACCCTCCATGCCGACGAGTCCAAAGACTTCGATCAACTGGTGAAGCGTCTAGAGATGAGGTACGGCCAAGCACACCTGGAACAAGTCTACCAGTCCCAACTTAAGAATAGAAGACAGAAGGCAGGTGAGTCCATCCAGGAGTTCGAAGCCGACGTTGCACGGATGGTACGCTTTGCCTATCCCTCGGCCCCTGAAAGCGTACTCGAATGCCTAGCTGTCCAAGCGTTCGTCGATGGAATGAGAGACCAGGAGTTGCAGAGAGCACTGCGCCTAGCCCGTCCCAAGGTCCTGGTGGATGCACTGTCAACGGCGTTGGAGTTTGAAGCAGCAACTGCAGCGTCCCGTGCCCATGACCGAGTCCGAGCCGTCACCAGCCACTCCAGCGAAGAGGAACACCATGGAGAGTCCAACAGGGAGATCCTTGAACAGCTGGTGAGCCTGATGAAGACTATGGCGACGAAGAAGAGATCAGTACGATGTTGGAGCTGCGGAGAACTTGGTCACGTCAGAAGTACATGCCAGCATCGTGACAAGACCACCCAAGATGACCCCAGGCAGCCAGAAAACTAGAACGGGTCGACTCCAGGAGGGCGACATCGACCCGAAGTAGCCTACAAGACCCTCTCCTCGTCCTGGCTTCACTGAGTCACCGTCCCAGCAGCATCTATGTAGACGGCACCGTAGACGGCAAGAGGTATTCAATGCTGGTGGATACCGGAGCAACGAAGACCATCGTCCGCCGAGGAGTTGCCAGGAAACAGAAGATGTCACCCACCAGGTGGCGATTACGAACCGCTACAGGGGAAGCAGCCAAGGTCCACGGTGAGGTAGACGTAAGAATACAGTTTGGTTCTACCCATGTTTCGCACCCTGCCTTAGTAGCCGACATCGAAGAGGACGTCATCTTGGGAATGGACATTATGGATATCTATGGCTTCCAGCTAGACTTGAAGCAACGAGTCATCCACATCGGCGCCGAAGAGTTGATTCTGCACCAACGTGAGACAGCCGTCGCAGAGGTAATGCTAGCCGAAGACATCGAACTCCCAGCAAGATGTGAGTCCATAACCGTAGCTCGTCTGAATGGGTCTATCCAAGACGGAATTCCAGCCATGGTGGAGCCCAGAAACCACGACCAGGAGCTAGCAAGTGTGCCTGTTCGTCTCATCAACATCAACGACCATCCAGTCACCCTCAAGAAAGGCGCTCAAGTAGGAACTTTCGAGCCAATAACAGCAGTGATTCACCAAGGGATTGCTGAGGAAGAACGGAAGTCAGACAAACTCGGACAGATCCTAGCCACTGTCGGTCCATCCCTGTCTCAACAAGAGAGGAAGAAGGTGAGAGACCTAGTCAACCGCTACCGTTCCATTCTGGGTTCGACGGATGGCAGACCAGGAAGAACCAGCATAGTAAGACATAAAATTGACACTGGTGAGGCGCGCCCTATCCGCCAAGCTGCTCGACGACTGCCCCAAGTCAAGAAGGAAGAGGCGGAGAGAACGCTCCAGGAGATGGTGAAAGACGGAGTGGTTGAACCTTCCAGCAGCCCCTGGGCCTCTCCCGTAGTACTGGTGAAGAAGAAGGATGGGTCAACACGGTTCTGCGTCGACTACCGCAGGCTCAACGATGTCACTAAGAAGGACAGCTACCCTCTGCCAAGAATCGACGACGCCCTAGCTGCACTAGCGGGTTCCAAGCTGTTCTCTACCCTGGATCTGAAGAGCGGTTATTGGCAGGTAGAAATGGATCCCGCCGACAAAGATAAGATGGCGTTCACCAGCGGAACTGGTCTGTGGCAGTTTACAGTCCTTCCATTTGGTCTTTG